CTTTGAAAGGTGCTAGCTGTTAATGGGCTTTGAGAGTACCAGCCGCTATTGGGCTTTGAGAGTGCCTGCTGTTATTGGGCTTTAAAAAGAGGTGCCAGTCATTATTAGGCTTTGATAATGCTTGTCGTTATAGGGCTTTGGAGAGGTGCCATATGTTATTGAGCTTTGAAAGGTGCCACCCGCTATTGGGCTTTGATGGTACTAGCCGTTACAAGGCTTTAGAGAGGTGCCAGCTGTTATTGGGCTTTGATAGTACCTATTGTTACAAGGCTTTAAAAAGAGATGCCAACTGTTACCGAGCTTTGATAGTGCTTGCCGTTACAGGGCTTTAAAAGTGCCTACCACTATAGGGTTTTGGAGAGATGCCAGTTGCTATTGGGCTTTGAAAGGTGCCAGCTGCTACTGGGCTTTGAAGAGGTGCCGGTCATTGTCACATCCTAAATTTTGGGCCTAAAAATACTAGAATTAGCCTGAAATGGAAAGACTACTAGAACCTTTTTGGCAGAGGTCCCAGAGATTCCCTGGAAGGACAGAGGGATTCCAACAGACTAAATCACAGAGGGAAAGTTTTCTAAGACTAAGAAAAGAGAAAGTTAGAGACTTGGAAGAAGTCTCGGGGCCCAGGAATGAGAAATAGAGATAAATATAGGCCAAAGGTTATGTTGGAGGCCGTAATGAGGTGAATTATGAGGTTAAACCAAACTAGGGGTAAAATCATAATTTTGTAAAATTTTAGGCTATAAGGGCAAAAATAGAAATTATGCCCAAAAATATCAAATTTTTTTTAGAAAAATAGGAATAAGGTCAAGAGTCCTGTATGAGGCTAAAAATGACAAAAATGCCCTTGGAAGGAATTTGTAGAATTTCTAGGGTTTCGACTGATTTTGAATATTATCAAAAAGGAATTATTTAAAGTATAGGGAGGCCTAAGATAATTGGACAAAATAGGAGAAAATACTTGAGGAATTATCACAGGTTTTAAAAATAGTTTCGTCTCTAGAAGGTGAAGAGGTTGGCTTTAATGGAATTTAAAACCTATTTATACACTATCTGGGAAAAGTCAAAGTAAACTATATAGAGGTTGACTTTTGACTTAAGAAAAATTAGAAAAATTTCTCGTGATGAATAAATGATATTGGTACCCGGAGACAGATTCTCAAAGTTATGGATCGATAGAAATGTGATAACAATAAGAAGAGCATAGTCTTTCTTTGGGTAGAAGAAAGAAGAAGATGAACAGAGGACTTCTCTCTAGTTATGCCTCCTCTCTCTTTCCCCAACCCAACTCATTGCCATGAGATAAGATGATAGAAAAGCTCTCTACTTTGCCTCCTTTCTCACCAGGAAATTTTGAGTGACTTCCTCTAACCCTTGCTCTCTTATTTATAGGATCTACCTAGGGTTTGGTTTTCTAATTTTTGTTTTTTAATTTCCCTCAATTATGACTCATAATGTAACTTCCTATTTAAGCACCAAATCATCATCAAAATTGTATTTTTATTTTTATTTTCTTTTTTTAAAATTTTCACCATTCTCACCTCAAAAGATATTTCTAAATTGAGGAGTCAATAATCTTAAATAAGAAATCTTTATTTTTATTTTCTAACTTTTCTTATTTCCCTCTTTAATGTGTCTACCTCACATTTCCTAAATTAGAGGTCAATTGGCTTTTAATTCTTATCTTTTATTTTATTGCCATTTATTGTAAGAGGGTTATTCTTATTTAATTTTCTTTTTTTGATTTGCTATTGATAACCTCTCAAAATTTCTACTTATTCAACTTGTTTTAGCACTCTTTTATTTGATTTGGAAGTCAATTTTGCAAGGAAAAAAAGCTTGAAGCGAGTAAGGAATAGAGACCAGAAGTGGAGAGCTAAAAAGAGACCATTCACCGTGGCTTATAGGAACAAACGCCACGGCGGTTCTAACAGAGAGGAAGGAGTGCACTTCTGTAGTCCCTGTTTGGTGTAATCCGTCATGGCTGATGATCACGTGCGCCACGGTGCTAAAGCTACTCAGCAAAGCCATTCTGTGTAATCCGCCGCGACGCCTAACCCCTCGCAGCTGTGCGTTTTATGATGTAACTTAAAAATTAGGGCATATAGAGGGGGATACTCAGTTTTTCTGGGGACACTTCAACTTTGGGGCGATTTTGGAGGCTTGCTCTGCTAGGGTTTGGAGCTTTGAAGGCTTAGAATCTTTAGGCTCGAAACTAGAAGAGATTCGAAGCTTGTTACTCAATTTTTCTGGATTTCCTTCTTCTTCCCTTCTTGTTTCTGCAATGACTACTGGCTATTCTTATAGTTGTAGTTTTTTACTCAATATGTATAGCCAAATCAGTTTTTCTAGGGTTATTTTGATCTATTGTATGGATTGAGACTTGGTTTTACTATCTCTTGAGTATTAATGATAATGTTCAGTTGTTTTTACCTTGAGCTTAATGCGTCCTTATGTCTGGCCATCATTTGGATTGATTGTTTGATTAGTTTAACTTGAGAAAGTTGAGTTAATCTATGAACTTTGGTAAAAACATGCTAGTCCAGAAATTTAACTGAGTAAATAGACAGTTTGTTGATAGAACAGAGATGTAAATGGGTTTTGGTTTTAAAAGTGCAACCTTTTCAAACAAATGCAAGAGATTGCTATGTTTTATTATGATTGCAAACATTTGGTTTTGACTTGAGAAAGCTTAATCAATTTTGCGAACCCCGGCTAACTGAACTTATTGTTAAGCATTGCTTGAGAAGTAATTAATCCAGTTTTATGAAGTATTTTAGTGAAGAATAACCCTAGTCTCTTAATTGTTTCAATGTCAAGTTAATTTTATATTGCATTAAATCATTGCTTTCCTAATTTCATTTCAAAAACTCTTTTATAACATTTATCTCACTTAACCTAATCAAGTACACAATTAAGATTTTTCAACTCATCTAGCCTTAATCTCTGAGGGAATGATACTTTTTATATTACTTGTGACCCATCCGCTTGCAGTTTAGCTAATCAACGAACAAGTTTTTGGCGCCGTTGCTGGGGACTAATGGCGAGATTGTTTGTAGTTGATTGTCCTTATTGTGTGATTGGTTATGCTTAAGTTTCTTTTAGCATTTGTAGTGATAGTTATAGGTAGTAGTAAAAGTATTCATTTAGTTCATTTCTCTTGACAAGTTTGATACTTTTGTTCTCAATTTGAACGCGCAGGTAACCCTTGACGCATGCGAGGAAGACTGGAAGTTATTTTAGAAGAGGTTACTGAAGAAGACTCCAGTTCAGGAGAAATTGAAAACACACCGGAAATTCAGCAACAACCCTAGCTACTTCCACCACCACCACTTGAAACAAAACTGCAAGAAGACATGGCAGAAGAAGATGAGAATGATGTATATACACTGGACAACTATTTGGATAAAGAAGGGTAAACTTTTCATTTGAGTATCCGGCTACCTGACATTCAAGCCAGGAATTTTGAAATCAAGCCCGTTATGATTCAACTACTGGGGATGATTGTTACTTTTGAAGGAAATTTTAATGATGATCCGAATGAGCATTTGACTAAGTTTACAGAGGTTTGTGAGAACTTCAAAGAAAATAGGGTTACTAAAGATGCACTGCGGTTGAGATTGTTCCTTATGTCGTTATCTCACAAGGCGAAAACATGGTTAAATTCTTTGCCAGAACACTCAATTAAGACTTGGGATGAGCTTGTATCTAAGTTCAAGGCTAGATTTATTCCAAGAGGCAAACGTGCTACATTAAGGGGTGAATTGTTGTCTTTTGAATAGCATCCAGATGAGTTATTCTACGAGGCTTGGGAAAGATTCAAGGATATGTGGAGAAATTGTCCAAATCATGAGCAAAAGAAATATGTTCTAATGGAAGCCTTCTGGAATGGGTTGAATGATCAGACAGTGACAATACTGAATACTGCTTCAAATGGAGGAATTGGAAAGATAAAGGTAAATGAGCTATATGAATTGTATAAAGAGGTGGCATCTAGCACTATGCAACAATATAATAAGAGAAGGCAAAGTTCTAGGAGATATAAGGAGCCTAGCTCTTCATCATCAAGAGATATTGCATCGTAACTTGAAGTGATTTCTAAGAGATTTGACAATCTGGAACTGCAGATTAAGAAGGGAAATGCTGCAGGAGTTCATGCACTTCAGGCTCTGGGATACACTTGTGACCACTGTAATGAGGAACATCATTCAGATAAGTGCTTATACACCTTGGAGACAGTCAATTATATGAATAATGTGCAGCGAAGACCACAAGGAAACCCTAACTCTCAAACCTACAATCCAAATTTGAGAAATTACCCAAATTTCTCATGGTGAAATGGGCCAAGTTTGAACCCGCCACAAATATTATTATCTGGTGCTAAACAAATGGGGCCTCCTGGTTTTCATGGCCAACCACAACAGCATCAACTACAACAGCAGCATCCTCAGAAGGAGGAATCCAAAATTGAGAAGATGTTTGCTTAGTTATTAGCAAATCAAGAATCTGCAAGGGCTAAGAATAAGGCAACCTTCTCTCTCCATAAAACTGCTATCAAGAATCTCGAGGTTCAAATGGGTCAACTGGCTTCACAAATGAATGTACTCACAAGAAGCAGCCTTCTAAGTGATACCATTCCCAATCCAAAAAGGGATGGTAATGAAGAGTGTAAAGCTATCAGTTTGAGAAGTGGAAACCAACTACCTGAAATTCTGAGGCCTAGTAAGACCAACAAAGACATCACTAACAGTGTGGTGATTGACCTTGATACAAATGAGTTTTCAGAAGAAGGTGCTATAATAGAAAAGGAAGAGACCAAGAAAAGGAAACAAACAGAAGAAAATCTCGATGATGTGGTTCGAGGAAAAAATGTAGAGGGTGAAATGGTTGATGATAAAAAGAGGAAGATAACTCCTCCTCCTCCTACATAGATGCCGCCACTTCCCTTTCCTCAAAGGTTTAGGAAGAAAGATAAAGATGTCTAGTTCAAGAAATTTGTGGACATGTTTAAGCAATTACACATCAACATCCTGTTTGCTGAAGCACTAGAGCAGATGCCTAAGTATGCTAAGTTTCTCAAGGATGTTCTCTCCAAGAAGAAGAGATTTAGTGAATTTGAAATAGTAGCCCTTACAGAAGATTGTAGTGCCATCTTGCAGAGAAAACTCCCACCCAAATTGAGAGATCCGGGCAGTTTTTATATTCCATGCAACATAGGCAAACACTTCAATGGAAAAGCTCTATGTGATTTGGGAGCAAGTATTAACCTGATGCCTTTAGCTGTTTTCAATCGATTAAATTTGGGTGAAGCAAGGCCAACAACTGTTACATTGCTCTTTGCTAACAGAAGTATCTCACACCCAAAAGGGGTTATAGAAGATGTCTTGGTGGAGGTAGATAAATTCATATTCCCAGATGATTTCATTATGTTAGACTGTGAGGTAGATTGGAACATCCCCATTATTTTGGGATGGCTATTCTTAGTTACCGCAAGGACCCTCATTGACGTAGAAAAGGGTGAGATCACCATGCGAGTAAATGATGAGAAGGTGATATTCAACATGAATCAAGCCCTGAAGTTTCCAGATGATTCTCTTCACTGTAATTCTATCGATGTGATTGACTTTGCAGTGCAAGAAGAGTTGATTAACTCTTTGACCAAAGATCCCTTGGAAGCATTGTTGATCAGAGAAACAAGTAGTATTGATGGCAAGGTTGAAGCATATGCAGAAATGATGAGTATTGAAGCATTTCCTTATCAAAAAGCTAAGACTTTTGAACCTCTTGATGTAACTAGTGCTTTAAGCTCTCCACTAAAGCCTTCTACTGATGAACCATCGGTGTTGGAGTTAAAGACTTTACCTTCACATCTCAAGTATGCTTACTTGGGTAGTTCTGCTACATTACCTGTGATTGTTTCTTCTCAGTTGTCCACATTGCAAGAGGAGAAACTGTTAAGGGTCTTGAGAAACCACAAGAAAGCTATTGGGTGGTCCATAGCTAATATCAAAGGGATCAACCCTTCTTTGTGCATGCACAAGATTTTATTAGAAGATGGTCACAAACCTTCTATTGAGCATCAAAGGAGATTAAACCCGGTTATGAAAGAGGTGGTCAAGAAAGAGATCCTTAAATGGCTTTTTGCTGGCATAGTATACCCTATTTCTGATGGCTCATGGGTGAGCTTAGTTCAATGCGTCCCTAAGAAAGGCAGTATAACTGTAGTGGCTAACACCCGAAATGAGCTAGTTCCAACTCATACTGTGACTGGGTGGAGAATTTGCATAGACTATCGAAAGTTAAATGCAACAACCAGAAAAGACCATTTCCCATTGCTATTTATTGATCAGATGTTAGATAAGCTTGCTAGGCATGAATTCTTTTGTTTCTTGGATGGATATTCAGGCTACAACCAAATTGTAATAGCCCCAGATGATCAAGAGAAAACAACCTTTACTTGCCCGTATGGCACATTTGCTTTCAAAAGAATGCCGTTTGGTCTTTGCAATGCTCCAGCAACATTCCAAAGGTGCATGATGGCCATTTTTGCTAACATGATTGAGAAGACAATTGAAGTGTTCATGGATGACTTCTCCGTTTTTGGAGATTCTTTTGATTGCTGCTTAGATAATCTGGCGGCTGTTTTGTAAAGATGTGAAGAAACTAACTTGGTTCTGAATTGGGAAAAATCTCACTTCATGGTGCAAGAGGGCATTGTCCTTTGGTCATCGAGTGTCCAAACAGAGCCTAGAAGTTGACAAGGCAAAGGTATCTGTTATTGAGCAATTGCCTCCACCAATAAGTGTTAAGGGTATTAGAAGTTTCTTGGGTCACACAGGATTCTACCTTCATTTCATTAAAGATTTTTCTAAAATCACTAAGCCTTTTTGCAATTTGTTGGAGAAAGATAGGGAGTTCAAGTTCGATAATGCTTGTATGAACTCTTTTGAGGAGTTAAAGAAAAAGCTTACATCAGCACCAATTTTAGTGGCACTTAATTGGGAGCTACCCTTTATCATTATGGCAGATGCTAGTGATTTCGCTGTTAGAGCAGTACTGGGACAAAAAGCAGAAAAGGTCTTCTATCCCATCTACTATGCAAGTAAAACCCTGGATGATGCTCAACTTAACTACACTACTACAGAGAAAGAATTGTTGGCAGTGGTGTTTGCTTGTGAGAAATTCTGCTCTTATATTGTAGGCACTAAAGTGACTATCTATACAGATCACTCTACCCTAAAGTACTTGTTTACCAAGAAAGATTCCAAAACACGCCTGATTCGTTGGGTCCTTTTGCTTCAAGAATTTGACTTGGAAATTGTTGATAGGAAGGGCACTGAAAACCAATTGGCAGACTATCTGTCTCGGTTGAGTAGTGAAGCTCAACATGATCATTGCCAAGAGATCAATACAACTTTCCCCGATGAATGCCTGTTCTTTGTGGATAACTTGACTACTCCATGGTATGCAGATCTGGTTAATTATTTGGTTTGTGGAACTCCGCCACTAGACCTTAACTCCCACCAAAAGAGGAAATTCCTTCATGATGTGAAGATGTACTTCTGGAAAGAGCCTTATTTGTTCAAAAGATGTGCCGATCAGATGATAAGAAAATGTATTCTGGAAGTTGAGCAGTAAGATATTCTAGAGTGTTGTCATTCTTCTGCCTATGGCGGGCATTTTAGAGGAGAGAAAATAGCTGACAAAGTCCTTCAAAGTGGTTTCTATTGGCCTTCGCTATTTAAAGATGCATACGCCTTTGTAATCTGGTGTGATCGGTATCAACGAGTGGGAAACATATCAAGAAGGAATGAAATACGTCTGAATAATATTCTGGAAGTTGAACTTTTTGATGTATGGTGGATTGATTTTATGGGCCCTTTTCCAAAGTCTCTCAATCAAGAGTACATTCTGGTCACTGTAGACTATGTCTTGAAATGGGTTAAAGCTACGACATGTGTATCCAGTGATGCTAAAACTGTGATCAAATTCTTAAAGAAAAACACCTTCACTAGATTTGGAGCACCCCGGGCTATCATTAGTGACGGTGGCTCCCACTTTTGTAATCATCAATTTCAAGCTCTAATGAAGAAATATGGTGTAAAGCATAGGGTAACTTTGGCTTATCACCCTCAGTCAAATGGCCAAGCAAAAATATCCAACTGGGAGATCAAAAGTATTCTTGAGAACGTAGTAGGTGCAACAAGAAAAGATTGGTCATTAAAACTGGATGATGCTCTTTGGGCCTACAGGACAGCGTATAAAACTCCAATTGGGATGTCTCCCTATCAGTTGGTGTTCAGAAAAGCATGTCATTTGCCTGTAGAATTGGAGCATGGGGCTTATTGAGCCATAAAAAAGCTCAATCTTGACTTTCAAGCTGTTGGTGCAAAAACGCTCCTTCAACTGAGTGAATTGGAGGAATTTCGCCTTAATGCCTATGAAAGTGCAAGGCTCTATAAGGAAAGGACCAAGAAGTATCATGATCAGAAAATTATACCTAAGGTCTTTGAAGCTGGGTAAAAAGTGTTATTTCACAATTCAAAATTGAGACTATTTCCGGGCAAACTCAAATCACACTAGTCAGGGCCATTCACTGTGGTATAAGCTACTAACCATAGTGCGGTGGAGCTGGAAAATGAAAAGGGTGAAAGATTTCATGCAAATAGCCATCGTTTAAAGCATTATTAGGGTGGAAAGGTGGATCGTCAAGTCTCTACGATCTACTTTGCTGAGCAATCATAAAAGAGCTGAAGAGTCAAGCTGAAGACTATAAACCAAGCGCTACTTGGGAGGTAACCCAAGCTCTAAACTTTCCTTTTATGTGTGTGTTGTATTTCGGTTTTGTTTTAGTAGATTTATGTTTGATCTTTGTTTTTGTAGGTGTAACATCTAGACTTTTAGGCCTAGAAGTTCTAGAAATAGCCTAAATTAAATAGGTTACCAGACCCCTGTGAGCAGAAGTCCCAAAGATGAAAAAGGAAGGTAAAGCAGTTTCAGGGACTAAACTGCAAAGTAAAAGTTTTCAGGGGCTCGAGTATAATTAAGGTTAGAGGCTCCAGTAAAGTCTCGAAGGCCCAAAAAGAGAAAAGAGGCTAGATACAGGCCAATGGGTAAGTTAGAAACCTTAAAGAGATGGTTCTATGAGGTTAGGCTTAAGCAGGGGTAAAACCGTAAATTCAAAAAGTTATAACCAGCAAGGGCAAAAATGGAAGAGTGTACAGAAAATTCCAAGAAAATCCCAAAAAATGGGAAATAATATTCTAAGACTCTTCTATGAAGAGAAAAGATGAAAATACCCCTGAGGCAGCTTAAATGGAATTTATGAGGTTGTGACCGGTAAAAAAAGTATACCGTTTGAGGTAATTATTTGAAATAGCAAGAGACCTCAAAAGTGTATACAAAAATGAGGTTAAAGGGTTTGAAAGGTTGTACTGATTTATAAAATTAGTCTCGCAACCAAAAGGCCAGTAGAGTGGCTTTAAGAAATTAAAGAGCTGGTTTTGCCGATATAAAAGGGTATTTTAGTAAATGAATTTTATGCAAGGCTTAAAGGAAGTGTTATGGGTTAAGAAAATTCATAGATACTCTCTAAAATTAAAGAGAATTTATGGATCTAACATAAAATAATTACAGAGGCTAGAGCACTGTAATTAGAGAAAAGAAGTTAAACCCGGAGTAAAAGTGCACCGATAAAGTATTAATCAGAGTCTTGCACTTTACTTGGGCCACAAGTCGCCACTTGTCAAGCCTTTAATGGATGTTAATTAAAGCTTTCCAAGTGTCAAGCTACCAATGGAGAGGATCTTGACTTTGGAATTTAATTACATTATGATTTAAGTTAATTAAGAGAGAGGATTAAGATTAAGTAGGCTAATGACACTTGGCATAACATTAATGATGGTTGGTGGGATATTTTGTACACATTAATGAGCTCATCTCTCCCCTAAATCAGATGGGAATTTCGTGCAAGGCATGAAGAGAGGGAAAAAGAGAGAGTTTTGAGGGAAACCAAGAGAAAGGCATCAACTTTGGTCATACAATCAAGGTTCAAGGTGAGTTCTTGGCTCTAGATGTGTTCTTGCCTTGGTTTCTTTCTCTTTTATGGTTGAAAATATGTCTTCTCTCCCTTTTGATGGCTGGTCAAAATGGTTGATGAGTCGGGAAGGGAGTTTGGTTGTTAGATCTTGCTAGAACACCTCAAAGTATGGGAGATCCAAGTGGATCTATGTGAAAATTGGAAGAATTACGTGTTGATTTGATGGCTTTTTCGAATTAGTTACTGTTCATATCTGGTTCTGAATTTGGGCATGCTTAAAGTACACTCTGTGAGCTTTAAATCCATGGGTAGAACACTTCATTTGGATATGTGTACGATTTATGGTGATTTTTCAAAGTTAGGGTTTGAAATCTGGAAACAGTGTTAAGCTTTTGAAAGGGTGTCGAGTTCCGTACAATTCTGGTACTGTTCAGCGTAGAATTGGTTCCTGAAACTATTTTTCCTTTAAATTTAACTTAATTAGATTTCATTGAGACTTGGAATCACTCAATTTGGATTTTTATAGATTTAATTATGAATTTTCAAAGTTGAGCAAAAATTCTGAAGATTCTGCGTGAACAGTACCTGCGAACCAAAATTTCCAGATTTGATATTCTTGAATCTAAAGCCATCTAAAGTGGTCCTAATTGATAGGAAATAGATCATAAGGATGTAAAATGATAAGATTTATATTAGAAAATTTAGAAAGAAAACCCTAAGACTAAGAGAAAGGGGTTGAGGTTCAAGAAAGCTAGTCTTGAACTTTATGTAATCTAATGGTCCTAATAGATTGTGTCATCATTATGGTTATGTTTAGGACCTTTGAAACATCCAAGAGTATGTTTAGTGATGTTGACCGAATGCCCACATGGTTGGAAAGTCAAGGGAGTCAAAGGAAAAGTAAGAGGAAAGCTTGAGGTGCAAGGTAGTGAACTTACCCTTTATGTGCTTGACATGGTATGCTTATGTGTTGTTTGTATTTGTTGTTTGAATGATGTTATGACATGATGATTGTTGCTGGAAATGCTGTTTTTAATATGTTCCCATGGCCATGCATTTTTATACCAAGCATAAAGCATGATGGCATGTCACTAGTTAACTTAAATTTATGAAAAACTACATACCATACACTAGCATCCATCTTGTGCATGTATGTGGTAATGTTTGCTACTGAGATTCCCCCGAATCTCACCCCCTCCCTAACCAACCATTTAGGTCAAATCAATGATGGGCACTAAGGGCATGAGAAGCAAGGAGAAGAAGTGGAGAATTATTAATGCTAATGATTGATGTTATTATTCAATGTATGATTCTCCTATATTGTAAGTTATGTTATGAATTCCATCAATTCAATGTATATGCTTAGGATGTTTATGGCATGAATGAAAGTATATGAGCATGAATGGGAAAAAGTATGCCCATGTTAGGTATGCCAAAGAAATAAAAAGAATTAAAGTAAAGAGATATTAAGGGATAAAACGTAGGTCCTGAAGCAGTTAATTTCAAGCTTCAGTTTGACCTATCATATGAATGAGTTAAGCTACGAAATTTGGTACATTTATAATTCATATCCCAAGCTTTAAAATGAGTGGTAAATCACATCATTTGGATGTGTATACAATGAGATATGAATTTTTGAAGTTAAGGCGCAGAATCTGGAAAGTCCAGATTTTACCAAATGAATAGTAATTTTAATCCAATAAACTGTACGTTTTCAGTGAGGATGAGTTCAGTTGAATATTTTTCCCTTAAAGAGCATTGAAAGAGCTTTCCGTAGAATTTTGCAACACCTCCATACGATATTTCTAGAATGAGTTATGATTTTTCAAAGTTGGACCTGTAATCTGAAAACTGGACAGTGAACAGTAATTTTCCGAAAATTAACGTCCAAATTGAAATTTTTAAGCTTAAGACCATCCAAAGTGGTCTGGAATGGTTCTAAATGAATGCTAAGGTATTATATAAGTAAGGTGTGACAGTAGGCCTGATGGTTTATACCTCAAACTTTGGAGCTTAGCAGAAGGAGTGGCTGATTTCTGATTAGCGCAACCAGGGAAGTGCACCTAACCTTAATCTCCAGCATTAACCTTAACCTTGTTGATACATCTGGAATATCAAATGCATTTGATTGAAAATTCATTAACATTGTGGTTTTGATTGGTTGTTTTGATTATGTTGGAGCTTGTGTTAAATTGAGACTTATGGGTTTTGTTTTTGTGTGGTTGCCTGTGTTTTGTTGTTTCCTATGATTGTGCTTGTGTTTAGTCTTATTTTATTGTGTGTTGGGTGTTTGGATGTGGTAGGTCCAGTTAGTGTTTGATAATTTTTCAAGGTAGGCCTTTTCTATAATAGGCGTCGCAGCGTGTGTGACCAGAAGCCGCAGCATCTTGTCCTGTTTCAGTGTCCTATCTCTGTAATAGGCGCCGCGGCCCCTGCTTAAATCCATCGTGGTGCCTTCGTCCTTATTCTTCAGTCGCGTCTTTGTAAAAACTACCACGGCGTGTGTACCTAGATGCCGCGGTGCCTATCCTCTTTCCCGGATCTCCAGTTCTGTCTGAGGCACCGTAGCGTAAGCACTCATAAGCTGCGGTACCCTTGT